ATGCTTTGTTAATCCAGAACCACACTAGATGTTCTTTGAGCTTTGAATAATATAGAAGAGGAACCAAGACTCACACATTTTATTTGAGAATTAGAGAAGGAGGGATGGAAGGAAAATGTTTTCCATCTACTGGTTTGATTCCCAAATACCCACAACACTCAGCCTTGGGGCAAGCCAACTCAATCCAGGTCTCCCATGTGAGTGGAAGAGACCCAAGTACTTGAGCCATTGTCTGTCTCCCAGGGTGTGCATTTGCACTAAGTTAGAATCAAGAGCAAAACTGAGAGTCATACCCAGGCAATCCAGTATGGAATGTGGGGGTCCTAAGTGGCGTTTTAATCACCAGACCAAATGACCACACCCCAGGATTCAGATTCATTAAACAAAAACCAAAGGAAATGAAATTGGCAAACAAAAAAGCAGTCTGCACATTAATGTTTATTGCAGCTCAATTCACAATAGCTAAGACCTGGAACCAAACCAAATGCCCATCAACAGTAGACTGGATAAAGAAATTATGGGACATGTACTCTACCAAATACTATACAGCAGTCAAAACCAACAAAACCCGGTCATTTGCAACAAGATGGAGGAATTTGGAAAACATCATGCTGAGTGAATTAAGCCAGTCACAAAGAGACAAATATCATATGTTCTCCCTGATCGGCGACAACTAACTGAGCACCAAAGGGGAAACTTGTTGAAGGGAAATAAACACTATGAGAAACAGTGACTTGATCAGCTCTTGTCCTGACAGTTGATGTACAATGTAATACTTTATCCATTTTAGTATTTTTTTTTTCTAGTACTATTGGTTGAACTCTGTAATTATCAGACAGTTATTCTTAGGTGTTTAAATTTTAACTGAAAAGTGATCCCTGTTAGGAATTTGGAAAACATTATGCTGAGTGAAATAAGCCAATCCCAAAGGGGCAAATACAATTTGTTCTCCCTGATCGGTGACAACTAACTGAGCACCAAAAAGGAAACCTGTTAAAGTGAAATGAACACTATGAAAAAGGTGACTTGATCAGCCCTCACCCTGACTGTTGATGAGCAGCTTAATATGTTATCCCTCTTAGTATTTTTTTTGTTTGTTCTACTTAATACTTTTGGTTGAATACTGTAATCAATACACAATTCTTCTTAAGTGCTGAAACTGAACTGAAAAGGGATCGCTGTTAAATATAAGAGTGGGAATAAGAGAGGGAAGAGATGTGCAATTCGGGACATGCTCAAGCTGACTTACCTCAAACGGTAGAGTTAGAAACATACCACAGGATTCCAATTCAATCCCATCAAAGTGGCATGTACCAATGCCATCTCACTAGTCCCAGTGATCAATTTCTGTTCACAATTGATCATAATGATAGGACTAAGAGCCAAAGGGATCACATAAACAAGAATAGTGTCTGCAAATACTAGCTGATAGAATAAAAAAGGGAGAGAATGATCCAACATGGGAAATGAGATACACAGCAGACCCATAGAATGGCAGATGTCCTAAACAGCACTCTGGCCTCAGAATCAGCCCTTAAGGCATGTGGATCTGGCTGAAAAGCCCATGAGAGTATTTCAGGCATGGAAAGCCAAGACACTCTGGGAAAAAAAAAAAAAACCTAAATGAAAGATCTCTGTGAGTGAGATCCCAGTGGAAAGAACAGGTCATCAAAGAAGGAGGTACCTTTCTCTGAAGGGAGGAAAGAACTTCCACCCTGACCATGGCCTTGTCTAAATATGATCAGAGTTGGTGAACTCAGAAGGCTTCCATAGCCTTGGCAGCTCATGATGAGAGCCTAGGGTGATTACTGATGCCATAAACAAGAGTGTCAATTTGTTAAGTCAACAACAGGAGTCACTGTGCACTTACTCCTCATGTAGGATCTCTGTCCTTAGTGTGCTGTACATTGAGATTTAATGCTATAACTAGTACTCAAACAGTATTTTTCACTTTATGTTTCTGTGTGGGAGCAAACTGTTGAAATCTTTACTTAATGTATGCTAAACTGATCTTCTGTATATAAAGAGAATCGAAAATGAATCTTGATGTGAATGGAAGGGGAGAGGGAGTGGGAAAGGGGAGGGTTGCGGGTGGGAGGGAAGTTATGGGGGGGGGAAGTCACTGTAATCCATAAGCTGTACTTTGGAAATTTATATTCATTAAATAAAAGTTAAAAAAAAATTTAAAAATCAAATCTTTCTTTAGCTTAAGCAGAGCTAATACTTGACTTTTTTTGCTTCATGAAAATATTTGTAATAAGTTTATAAAGAAACAGTTTTATCAGCTAAGCCTGTTTGTTTTGAGGACATTCTTTGTCTTAATTATGTATCTAAGAATTACAGTTGTCTCCCATGTAGCCTTAAAGTACCATAGTAAGACAAAAGTAAATTGATAGTGTTTCCATTTGAATGAAATTCAGGACTCAATTACACTACAGTAAATCTGAATTGTGTTTTTTTTTACTTAGCAATTTTTTTAACTTTTATTTAATGAATATAAATTTCCAAAGTACGGCTTATGGATTACAATACCTTCCCCCCCATAACGTCCCTCCCACCCGCAACCCTCCCCTTTTCCAATCCCTCTCCCCTTCCATTCACATGAGGATTCATTTTCGATTCTCTTTATATACAGAGGATCAGATTAGCATACATTAAGTAAAGATTTCAACAGTTTGCTCCCACACAGAAACATAAAGTGAAAAATAATAGATGATTTTTTAAATGATGATGAAATCAGATCAGACCAATGTCATGTTTAATCCCAGTGAGAGTCAAGTTGGGAATTGATAATTTCCTCTTCTTCTTTTTTTTTTTTTACAGATCAGTTTAGTATACATTAAGTAAAGATTTCAACAGTTTGCACCCACATAGAAACACAAAGTGAAATATACTGTTTGAGTACTCGTTATAGCATTAAATCTCAATACACAGCACATTAAGGACAGAGATCCTACATGAGGAGTAAGTGCACAGTGACTCCTGTTGTTGACTTTACCAATTGACACTCCTATTTATGGCATCAGTAATCTCCCTATGCACCAGTGATGCGTTTCCAAGGCTATGGAAGCCCCTTGAGTTCTCCGACTCTTATCTTGTTTAGACAAGGTCATAGTCAAAGTGGAGGTTCTCTCCTCCCTTCAGAGACAGGTACCTCCTTTGAAGACCTGTTCTTTCCACTGGGATCTCACTCAAAGAGATCTTTCATTTAGGGTTTGTTTGTTTGTTTGTTTGTTTGTTTTTTGCCAGAGTGTCTTGGCTTTCCATGCCTGAAATACTCTCATGGGCTTTTCAGCCAGATTGGAATGCCTTTAGGGCTGATTCCGAGGCCAGAGTGCTGTTTAGGACATCCACCATTCTATGAGTCTGCTGAGTATCTCGCTTCCCATGTTGGATCACTCTCCCCTTTATTTATTCTATCGGTTAGTATGAAATGGACACTATGAGAAACGGTGACTTGATCAGCATAGCCCTGACTGTTAATGAACAACTTAATACATTATCCCTCTTAGTAGTTTTTTTTGTCTGTTCTACTTAATATGACTGGTTTAATTCTGTAATTAATACACAGTTATTCTTAAGTGTTTTTTTTTTAATTTACTCGTTATTGAGTATGGATAACTTCCCAAGGAAATGTAGTGTTATTTGCAATGGACTAGTCCTCTCCTTGTGAATTAAAATGAATATAACACGTGTTTTATTGTCCTTTTTAATTCAGTAAAACATTTTTACTGTGCTTTAATATTTACTTATAGAGAGTGTGTGGGAAATATTTATATCTCCATTTTCTACAGAGAGCTATCCATTTTGCGACATTGCCTGCATTCTCTTTTACTTTGTCATTACTTTAGAACAGAGTTATAGTCCTTTCTGTGTGTCCCCAGCTCCATGTGCATACCCTATTCTGCCTATCTGTCTAAAATTTGAACTGTTTAATATAAATGGGGTAAATCATCTCTGTCACCATTTTGGTTCATAATAGGCACTCAGGGAATGTTCTAAAGTCAACTATTAAGTAAATTAATATTCCATTTAAGTTGTTCCCAAGCTTTTGAATCAATCTCCATTATGACAATGATTATATCTTTAGTAGCCACTAATTAAAAATGCATAATTGTGTTCATTTGTGTCACATTTAAATATAATTTTATTAACATTTCTGAAATGCAAAAATTACATATGGGGTATTATTTGTTCAAACGATGGAAAGTTGTATGAGAGTATCTAACACTGTATAGATAAGTACTAAACTCAATAAGTATGTTTATCAAAGGTTCATAGACTATCTTAAATTTTTTTTCAATAAAAGGTATTTGTATTATCAGAACAATCCTTTACAAATGTGTTATAGTTTCCAATTTATACTCATTCATTTTTTCCAATATTTCTGAATGTTTTCTGTTTGTCCAATTCTATTCTAGGGTCAAAGCCTCCAGCCATAAACTACCAGGAATACACTTGTAGTTGATCAAATCAGGTTTATTAGTACAGTAAGGAAGAATGTCAGGAAGAGGTCGTTAGAAAAGATTTGCTATAGGATTTGAACCTGTAAAATATTGACCAAAAATATGTAAAGAATTAACAAAAGTGCTGTGGCATAAACTGGCTAGTGCCTGTATTTAGTTTCTTTATGGATTCCTATGTTGTTATTTGTATTTGAATTTTTCTGAGGTAGCTGCTAGATAGCTGAGTTTTTAGCTACTCAAAAATCTTTTGAAAATTTATTAAACATCTGTTAGAAATTCAGTCTATAGTATTTAAACATTGAATAAGATCCAATTAAAGGTGAGGGTATATTAATGTGGTGTATCACAATATGATCATTTCTTTTTTATGGCTCCAAGTAGATGACCTTATTTTAAAAATTTTCTTTACCTTTACTATCACTAAAAGAATGAAAGGAAACTGTCTTGTCTTAGCTAGTGATTTTTCCCAATGTATAAATACCATCTTGTAGATGAATGTTTCAATATATCTATTTCTTTTCTCTGTTATTTCAGCCCCTGTATGATGCTGCTTATCTTACAATGTACAATATCTGCTTCACTTCCCTGCCCATTCTGGCTTACAGTCTACTGGAACAGCACATCAACATTGACACACTGACCTCAGACCCCCGGTTGTATATGTAAGTTGAACATATGCTTAAAACCCCCTCAGACATTCAAAGTTAGGAGTGTCATTTCATCTGTAGGTAAAGAAGTGACAGGTCTGCCCATCTTGTTTTATTATCTATTTCTGCTCTGAATTTTTAGCTACTGAAACCAGACCATTCAAGAGTAAAATAACATATTTCCTAGTTGTGGGCAATGTACTTGAATTATATGTGAAGCACTTAGTTCAGAGTCATCGAATTCTTTTTTTCTTTTTTTAAAATCTATTTATGTATTTGAGAGAGAGAGAGAGGAAGGGAGGGAGGGAGGGAGTCGTCTTCCTTCTGCTGGTTTACTCCCCAAAATGCCATGGCTGGCAATGGGCCAGGCTGAAGCCAGGAGCTTCATCTGGGTCTACCATGTGTGTGGTAGGGGCCCAAGCACTTGGGCCATCTTCTTTTACCTTCCCAGGCATACTGTCAGGGAGCTGGATCAGAATTGGAGCAGTCAAGACTTGAACTGGTACCCATATTGGATATCACTGTTGCAGGTGGTGTACCACTGTACCACAATGCCATGCCTGAGTCATCGATTTCTTAAAAGAAAAAAAGAAGATTCATTTATTTATTTGAAAGAGAGAGAGAGAATGAAAGAGAATATCTTCCATCCACTGGTTCACTCCCCAGATGGCTGCAACAGCCGGGGCTGGGCCAGGCCAAAGCCAGGAGCCAGGACTTCTGCTACTTTCCCAGGCCATTAGCAAGGAGCTAAATCAGAAGTGGAGTAACAGGGAATCGAACTGGTTGCCCATATGAGATGCTGGCACCACAGGCAGCAACTTTACTCACTATGCCACAGTGCCAGCCCCCCAAGTCACCAGTTTCTAAAACTTGAGCCTACAGCATCAACGTGCTCTGATGTTTCACAGGAAGATGTGATATTTAACCACAAAAAAAGAAGCACACGAAAATATCTTTTCTAGTTTAGAATGTTAATTCCTACTTGTAATGGATTGAACTGATGGGGTTATGTTACCTTTTCTCTTGTTAACTGCTCTTGAAGCATTAGCTGTCCCCCATGGTTAGCCCCATTCAAAAAATAGCTCTTGGAGTCATTGTACGCATTTTGTGTTAGTGGGAAATGGATGCTATTCTCTGTTGATGGGAAACTTGGCTCTAACTCTAGTAGCTTAACCTATAATTTAATTGGATTTTTATAGATTAAACCTAAAGCTAAGGATAAAAATATTCGTTTATAGAAGATGTATCTATTGCTAAATAAAGGATACCTGAGGCTGGCATTGTGGTGCAGCGGGTTAAGTCACAGACAACATCCTGTATGAGTGCCAATTCAAGTCCCGGCTGTTCCACTTCCAATCCAGTTCCTGCTAATATGCCTGGGAAGTCCGTGAAGGATAGCCCAAGTAGTTGGATCCCAGCCATGCATGAATCAGACCTGTATTGAGTTTCAGACCCCTAGCTTTGGCCTGGCCCAGCCATTGCAGCCATTGCAGCCATTTGGGGAGTGAACTAGCAGTGCAAGAGTTAGTTTCTCTGTCTCTCACTGTCTCTCTCTAACTTGTAAATAAATAAAAATGTCTTTAAAAAATAATAAAGGATACCAAAGGATACTAAATGCAGTAGGCTTAGCTTATGTAGTTGTTTGAAATGAAGATGCACAAATTTAAAGAATTTCAATAACCAGCATGACTCATAAAATTTACATTTAATAAGTGTTACAATTATACAGAGTCAAATTCATAAAACATTATGTTGAAGGTATTTAAAAGCACAGCGCTATAAAATGAACTTCCCTGTCTTTATAACTGAGCTTCAATAACTATCAGTTCTTTAATAATAATTTTCATCAACACCTGTCAGTTGCATTAATGACCCTGTAGGGGGTGAGTGTTGTGGCACAGCAGGTTAAGACACTGCTTGGGAGATCCACATACCATATTGGAATGTCAGGGATTGAGTCCCTCCTCCACTTCTGATCCAGTTTTCTGCTAGTGCATCTGGGAGGCCGCAGATGATAACCCAAGTACCTGGGTTTCTGCCACCCATGTGGGAGATCTACATGGATATACTGGCATAGAGAACCAGCAGAAAGAATCGATCTCAATCTCTCAATCTCAATCTCTCTCTCTCTCTCTCTCTCTCTCTCTCTCAATGTAGTCTTTATGTGGATGAAAATAATGTATATAAAACTTTTCATCCATATTCTGGCATATAAATAGGAGCTAGTTATTACTGATGATGTTATTATCAGTGGCCAGAATTTTACAAGCATTTTTTATTAACTCTTTAATAACTGTAATATTTATGAGGTATAGTGTGATATTTCAATAAATGTTTATGATATATACTGAACAAATTAGGTTAATTAACATTGCTCTCTCCTTGTCATTGCTTTATGAAGAGGACATAGAGGAAGGTTGGATAGTGGTTACAAAACACATGTAGAAGGAATACATCCCTGGTATTGCATAGCACATTAGTGTGACTACAGTTCACAATAATGTATATTTTCTGAAAAAATTTAATTGTAAAAGCATTTTACAGTTTACTTTAAGCTAGGAGGTGATTGTGTGAATATGAACCTTTGGCTATGTCTGGTCCTTTACCAAAAGTTTTCAGTCCATCAGGGTAGCCCCCTTCATTGTAATGGGGTCAGACCCCATGCCCACCCTGGTATTTCTCTGTATCTTTAAATGAACACCCTCCAGAGGTTCATTGCCCTGTTTTTTATTTCCCCCATTTCTCAATAGGAAAATTACTGGTAATGCCATGCTACAGTTGGGCCCCTTCCTATATTGGACATTTCTGGCTGCCTTTGAAGGGATGGTGTTCTTCTTTGGGACTTACTTTCTTTTTCAGACTGCATCCCTGGAAGAAAATGGAAAGGTAAAAAAAAATGCCATTACATCTTTTGGTGTTATAAGCATGGGTTATTTTTTTCCCATAGGCATTGGATCTGTCTTACATATAGTCTTGCTGTAAGCACTTTTTAAACCATTTTCTTAAGGTACAGTATTATTTATTTCTCATAGCTTCTTTAAAGGTGTTGAAATAAGAAATCCCTATGTGAGTGACTATAGAGCTGCTGTGCAAACCCTCTGGAAGTTTAACTTGGCTGTAAATTTTAGTAGAGGTCTTAAGATTTCAGACTTTGGACCACTACATTTTGATATGAGAAAACCTTCTCTTTTAAAGCAAAGTTTGGCCCAACTCAATTCTTATTCCTAGTGGCCTGACATGCTTGGAGTTGAAGAGGGTAGCTGCATTATCTTTGAAGTATTTGACCAATGGATGAAGAGAGGGAATTCTTTTCCCTCCCTCCTTCCCTTCCACATAGAAGCATAGCATTCTTCAGAAAAGGTATACTGGGCCTGCCAGTCTTCCTAGCAAGGACTGTTTCAATCAACAGTTGCATTAGGATGCTCTGGCCTTGGCTATACTCTAGAAGAGAATTACTGATGGGAGACAGGTGAGGTCTTTTTCCTGCAGCCACACAATGGGAAGCTGAATACATGCCTTGCATGCTGCTTTCACTGTTTGTTTGCCATTTCTGGAATTCCTCTTTTATGGTCATTCATTCTTTACGATCATAACATGAAGCAAAGCTAAGGTTCAAAAAGAATTTGCTAAGTATAACGCCTACATCTGAAATCTAGACAGCCAACATGTTACAGAATTGATAGAAGCAGGGAATTTCAATGATACTTTCAAATTAATTACTACAGTAAAAACCTCTCTAATTTGGACTAAGAAATCAACTTTAAGATGAATTCATAAAAATTATTAATTACAAAATAATTTGTAGGAAAATTCAGGTCTTCTTTAGAGTTTACACATATAGCACTTGTCAGAGAGTGTCCTGCTAAATCCTTCGAGTTCTTGGGAAAGTCCCATCATTGTAAGAAGGAGTTCAGTTTTATGATTTCTCAAGTCCCTTCAGTTTTATGACCCATTCTATGATTTTTCACTTTCTATTTTGTTTTTATTTGACACATAAATCATATATATTTGGGTACTGCTTTTAAAGACTTTGCTCTAGTATAGGTGGATACTCTACTGCAGTCCTATTGATGTGATTCATTTGTTCAGCAAACTTTCCAGGTGGCACATGAGAGACACCAACCTAACCTCTGTCCAGTTCATTATCTGTTTTGAGTTCATAAAGTCCAAATTAATAAGGTTTTACTGTACATGTCACCATCCTTCTAAATGTTTGCTAAAACTACTCTAAATGTAGGCACTGCTAGCAGCAACTAGACACTCATGTATGATTTAATTAAATTTTTTTTTGCTTCTATTAATCTTAATTTTTTTGTTTTTATTTTTTGAAAACCGTTTACATCTCATTTTCTGTTTTAATGCTGTGCATTCAGATCTTGACAGCGTTTGGTAAGCATATGTGCCATTCATTGCCACCCTTTGGATTTATACATGGTATCTGCTTTTCTTTGAACTGCACATGCTGACAGCTGTGGTATTTACAACCAAAAAGTTGGACTTGTTTAAAAAAATGAGTCTTTTTGTCTGAAAATAATTACTTATCTGAGAATTCTAGTTAAAGGGAAAGTCCATACCCTACTCTTAAGAGACATGAGTCATCATCACATGACTTATGTTAATGAATATTATTATTAGTAGAATAGGATTTTTCCCCCTGCCTTTATCATACCAGTGAGTTCCCAGTTCAATGCTAAATAAAGTAATGGAAATAAACCCTACCAACCATAGGTATGGTGTACCTGATCATGAAAATTTAGGGTTACAGGAAAATCCATCATCATGACCTAGTTTATTCACCAGCTTTTACCCTAAACAATTCATACAAAAATCTTTGGCAATTACATGCAGGATTAAACTCAGTTTGTTATGTTTTTTTAAGCAGGTTCATGTTTTCATGATACATGTAATTGTTAAATGTTTTTCAGGTGTATGGAAACTGGACTTTTGGAACCATTGTTTTTACAGTCTTAGTATTCACTGTAACCCTGAAGGTTAGATTTTTATTTATTCAAATGTACTTAACACCATTTTGGTAATACTTTCTGCTCTTATCCTAATGCATCGTTTTTGTCTCCTAATCTTTATTTTTGTTACTGTTTGTTATTCAAGCCTTTGTCTGAATGCTTACTAAAATATATGTGATGCTAGGGATTTTGGCATTTGTAAACTATTTGTTAGCCATTATTTTAGTGTCTGTTCTAATTTATTTTTAAATTCAAACACCATATTTGTTCTGTAAATCTGGTCTTTTTAATCTTTATGATAAGTGACATATAAATAGGCTTTGAAAGAGTATGTGTGTATGATTGTGTGTTTCCATCTTAAGTACTTGCATCTTTTTAAAAATTATATATTTTTAAGAACTCAAGGCTCGAAAGTAATTTGTGTGCTTGACACAGCTAAATAAGTATCCATGAGCCACATTCATGTGTAAAAGAACTTGGTAGTAATGAAGCTTCATAAAATGCATTCATCACTGAAATTTACCCATCTTCCTGATGAAGTGCCTAAGGCTATATAACAAGCAACACACAAGAGGGATAATTTTGAGAAAATCAATGTCATTGACGTGTAACCATTAAATAATTCTGTGAAGCCTCGTGAAATGTTACCCTTGAGTCCCATAATATGGGTCTCTCTTGTAGTTGAAAGCATAATCAAATTATTTTCATCATTATAAAAAAAGCACCACACATGAGATCCATGTATGAGTATCTTTACATGAATTCCAACATACACAATGGCAAGAACCAGAACCAGGAAGTATAATTGTCAAAGAACTTCTCTAATCATTTTTCCTTTTAAATATTTGTTCCTAGATCATTTTTCATATCAAATAGAGCTTACATGTGTTTCCATTACTCATCTACTGTTTCAACAATATTTAGGACTTTAAAGGGACATGTTACAATTCATCTTAGTTTATCCACTTAATAACACAATGTCCTTTGGCAAGTGACTTCACTTCTCTGTGCCTCAGTTTGCTTTTCTATAAAATATGTAAAAGTGGCACTAGAATTTTTGTAGAAAGTCATTTAATAAATACATATAAAACATTTTGAATGGTGTCTGGCACATAGAGTACACCCATTAGAATAAATGCTAATTGTTACTATTAATTTTTTACAAACTCATGATTTGAAATGGAAACCTCCTTTGCCTCTTTTCCCCCTTCAGCTTTGCATATGACTCCTTCATAATAAGAATCAGCCTCATTTTAACATATTTCATGTGTATCCTCTTCTTTGAATTAGTTTTATTGTGACATTTTCCATAGCCACCTGGAAGGTATGAATTGAAGATGAATCTGCATTAACAATGTTATCAACATCCTGTTTATGAATGAGAAACTGTAACAGAAAACTGCGGGCTATGATATCACTGTAATTAACAAAACCAAGACACCAGTAAATGCTCTGGATATTAGCCCAAGTGACCTAGCAGTTTTAAGCAAGCAGAGCAGACTATAATTTATTTTTATATCACTTTTGAAACCCCTGGTCCTACAATCTGAAAACATGTTAAATTCTGGAGGAAACATGAAAAGATCAAAATCTAAGGCAACAAGGGCTGGCATTGCAGTGAAGTAGGTTAAACCACTCCTATGACACCCACATCCCATATGAGCACCAGTTAGAGTCCTGGATGCTCCACTTCTGATACAGCTCCCTACTAATGTGCCTGGGAAAGCAGGAGAAGATGGCCCAAGTACTTGGGACCCTGCCTCCCAATGTGGGAGACCTGGCTTCATCTAGATCCAGCCCCAACTGTCTTGGCCATTTGGGGAGTGAACCAATGGATGGAAGATCTCTTTCTCTCTCTGTCTGTCTGCCTCTCTCTCTCTCTTTATGTGTAACTTTCCATTTCAAATAAATGATATTTTTTTAAAAAATTTAAGGCGACTGAACATTTTCTTAAGTTAATGGAATAAAGACAAGTTCTGTGATTGGAAAGGCACGTTGCATGTTCAGACCTGTGACCATTACTACATGATGTTAGATGTACAAAGCTAGTTGCCTTTACATTTAGTGACTCCTGTCTTGTGTTTGGGCTTTCATGACTCTTTTGTATAGTTTTTCTACCCTTGCTAACTACCACTTCCTTCTCTTACTTCTTTTCAGCATACCTGCCTACACCAACTTGGCCATCATTTTCCTGGGTGCCACTACCTGAGGACGTGGGGCCCCAGGCTCCTGGATGTTACCATTACTTTATGCCTTACCTATCTCTCAGTATTAAAGCATCTGCAGCCTCCATAACTCCTAACTACTTGGTTTGACAATATCTGCATGCTTGTACTCTAGAGTTTAGAGGCCATAGGGCAGAGCTCAGCATTCTTACCCTAGCTCTTTGAAAAGTCTGAATTTTGTTTCTATTTTAGTTCTACTTCTAGATTCCTGAGCCAAGTTAGTTCCTGCCATAGCTATCATATTGTATGCAAGTTATCAGAGACTATAGCATTTTACTTGGTGTAATTTTTAATCCATCATGAAATCTCTTGTGTTGTGTATTTTCAGCTTGCCTTGGATACTCGATTCTGGACATGGATAAATCACTTTGTGATTTGGGGTTCTTTAGCCTTTTATGTATTTTTCTCATTCTTCTGGGGAGGAATTATTTGGTAAGCAGCTATACTTGTGTGAGAAATATGTAAATAACAAATGGATGTATATATATGTACATTGTATATGTAAACATTCCTCATACTTTTAAAGTTTTGGTTATGTAAGAAGGTAGGTCTTTCATATTAATGAACCAAATGTTGTTGCCAATAAGACTGATAATTTCAGGTAAGATTTCAAATTTAAGGTTATAAACCACAACAGTTATTCAAAAGACCTCCCTTTGGTAGTCTGTTAAATCTTTCAATTTGAAGGTGTGTAAATATGTCTCCATGAAGTGAAGCTAATTTCTATCATTACCTTCCAATGTAATTTCCAGTGGAAATACTCTTTCTCTGAAATTTCTTATACTTATATTCTGGCCAATAGTTTCATTTTATCCATTTGGACTCAATTCTCTCTGTATACTTGCAGTTGTCCTTTGGTATCCACAGGGCTTGGTTCCAGGACCCCTAAGGATACCAATATCTGAGGATGCTCAAGTCCCTTTTGTAAAGTGGCATACTATTTGATATAACTCTCACACATCTTCCTGTATGCTTTAAATCATCTCTGAATTTCATGTAGTACCTAATACATTATAAATGATGTTTGAATAGTTTTCATACTGTATTAAGGAATATTGACAAGAACTCCTGAATGTTCTGTACAGATGAATTTTTTTCAAATGTTTTCTATTTAATTGGTTGAATCCATGGATCCAGAACTTGAGGATACTAAAGGCTGACTCTATAACTTGTCATTTGGCTCACTATAGGTATGCTCAGGTACAAGATATACACCACTCAATGTTCAAAGGAGTTTATCTTGAAATCACCTTCTCGCTGTTTTGGGGGGAGGCTCTATATAATAACCTTAAAATTTGTTTGGTACACCTTTATGCAGTAGGTGTTTATTCAGAATTGATTTTATGCTTGGTACTCTGTGGTATACAGAAATGAATGACTGTACACTGCTTCAAGATTATAGTTCAGTAAAGAACACATAAGCTGTGATTGGGGGAATTGTAAGCAATGAAAACAAGTTAGATATACATCTTCTTTCCTTACTCCCCAGGTCCTATGTTTTGCTTTTTAAATTTCTAAATTTTCATTTATCAGTGGCTTCCTCTGACAAGGATGCCAGCAGCAGAGATCATGTAGAAGTAATCCATGGGGTAACATTCCAGAAGTACATATGTTCATTGCTTTGAATAAAATCTTATATACAACACATTTTACCACAGAGATATGAGACCATGCTTATTTTCCCTTGGGGCTTAATTAGAAGAAACTTTTACTGTTTTGTAAAGCTTTTTAGTAATACCCTTAATTTTTTCATAAATCCAATCACTTAAGGACATACCACCTCCAAAAAGTATAATTACAGCATATATTTGGTACTTCTATAGGTAATGATTGAGAGCAATGAAGCTGAAGGAAGTTTGTTTTCTTTAATAATGTACAATAAGTCAAAGTTGATTAACCAAATGCAATACAGAATTATATTTTCACTTAGAATACTGCAATTCTGTCTGTGAATCTGTGTAATGAACATCTTAACTAATGCCAAATTCCCACAAGAATAAAATGTTTCTAATAAACTACTTTCTAACCCTTTCCACAGACTTATTCCTTGTTAATTAAGATCAAGTCTTTAAATGATTAGAACATTGTCACACCTGTTTCTATTCATTAGTAATACTGAAAAATACAGTAGTTTCCTCTCTTACCCACAGTTTCACTTTCCGTGGTTTCAATTAATTCTAGTCAACCATGGTCCAAAAATGTTACATGGAAAATTTCAGAAATAAAAGAATTCAGAAGTTTTAAATTGAGTAATGTTCTGAGTAATGTGATGAAATCCTACTCCAATCTGCCCTGGATGTGGACTCATCCCTTTGTCTAGCATAGCTATGCTGTATATAATACCTGCCTACTAGGTACTTCATAGCTGTCTCTGTTACCAGATCAAGTGTTGCAACATCACTGGGCTTTCTGTTAAAGTAACCCTTTTTTACTTAATAATGGCCCCAAACCACAAGAATAGTGATGCTTGAAACTTTATACATTACATTATTATCATTGTTCTATTTTATTATCAGTTAATGTTCATCTCTTATACTGCCCAATTTGTAAATTAAACTCTGTGTCTGTATACAAAAAAGCTACAGTCATCTGTTTAGGGCTTAGTACACTATACAGTTTTGGGGCACCTATTTGGAGTCTTTCAACAGTCTGAGGGGACTACTTTGTTAATAAATCTTTCTTCTACTTTGTTGCCTGATATACTGTTCTTATGTAAAGCTATATGAAGTGAGCTACTACATGAATATAAACTTACCAAGTATCCAGCAAAATGTGACTAGAAATTATGTGAAACTTCAGCTTAATGCTAGTTGCAAATAATGTCTCTGAGCATGTTTTACCATGAGGCATTGAGACACACCCCCTCTTTTGGGGTGGGCAGTGAGAATGATTTCTGAGCTCAAACCCAATTAAGGAATAACAGTTTTTGTTTTTCACTGTCTTCCTACAAAATTTCACAGATGCCATCAAGGTAAAAATAAATTCTAGAAGTATTAATCACATGATATTTTATGTATGGTGCACAGGAACACTCTTTAATCACCTGCCAGTTTTCTGTTGGATCCTTGTTATATAGCTCAGTTAACTACCTGTGAAATTATTCAAGAATACTTTAAAGAGTTATAAAGAGGAAGAGCTCTACAAAAGTCTTTTATGTATGGCATGCTTTTCCTAGAAATTCTGTTTATTGTAGGCCTCATGAGCTTTTCCACTTCAATGTTTTTCTCACTTTTATTCCACAATCTAGTCCTCGTATCTAGGCCTCACAAATTTGAATGTTACATTAGGCTGCACAAACACTGATTTTCAAATGAAAGACCGGTATGCATGATCTAATAAATGGGACTGGCTAGTTACCTATCTAGAATCTTAATCCTAGAATAGACTTATGTGAAACCAGAGTGGCCACTTCCTGTCAGTTTAGAATAGCAGTAAATTAGCTTAGCTAATAAGGCTTTCTGAGGTTCAGCTCAGATGGGAAGGGAAACTGGCTGTGCACTTCTAAATGGTGACTGATTACAGTGGACAACTTATATTTAAGTCTAACTTCAGAATGAGTGGGTCTTACTGGACTTCTGGATTCCAAGGATTAATGTTCTATTAGCAGTATTCTGCAGTCTATCAACCTTTTTGACACACACACACATTACCCAGTATATACTTGTGAATTACAATAGTAATTGTAATGAAATGAAAAGCTCTACAATCCATTTTTGCAGTATTTCTGTAGAGTTTAAGAGGGGAATATTATAAAAATGTCTTTTAGCTTTTTGAATGTGGAATAAAAATCCATCCTCATATTAATAAAACAGCTGAGGGAATTAAATGCTTAGTAGGATAAAAATTAGTCATCGTTTCTCTTGAATACCTTTGAAACTCTGGCATTTTCTAATGCATACAAATATTCACCAGTTGGCAGCTTTAGAGTTGATTGCCTGATTGTTTTCAAGTCAGATGCATTTTATTTTCTCCCCTTTGATTATCATTTCATTTCTTTCCAAACATTTGTTAAATGAAATTTGTTTACTACTTTTGGCACATTCTAGACAAGATTATTTTAATTACTGTAAGGAAGATTTTTTTAACTACAAAAGATAGTTTCAATTAAATTCCTGTTTCACACAACTCAAACTGATTTGTTTTTCCATTGTGTATTTTCTTTCCACTCCAGGCCTTTTCTCAAACAACAGAGAATGTATTTCGTATTTGCTCAAATGCTGTCTTCTGTATCCACATGGTTGGCCATAATTCTTCTAATATTTATCAGTCTTTTTCCTGAGATTCTCCTGATAGTATTAAAGAATGTAAAAAGAAGAACTGCTAGGGTAAGAACTAACTTTATATTATAATCTAATTTTTGGAAGGGGCTTCAGTATCTGCCGTGAACTAAAAACTATATTTAGAGAATTGCATTAGTTACAGCATGTTAAACCCCTCCTTACAGGTTCATCACTTAATTTCCTCTTCTGCCTAAAAAGTATAGTAAAAACTTCGTTATCCAATGCAGGTGGTAAGTAGATTCCTTAAAAGTGTTCTATGTGATCTTTAGCAATCCATATGGAGTACCACATGTGCTCCATATGGAATTATAAAAGGAAAAAAATGAATTTATTTTTGTATTTAGCCTAGAATTTTTACACCAGGAATTTCCACACCAACATTTCAGCTTTAACCTTAGAAATTTCCCTGTGGGCTGTCTGCAGATTTTTTTTCTGTTGATAATCTCAATTTGCCTTTTTCAAACCATTCCCCTTTCTTTAATTATAGTGCTGCTTAATCTCTGTGTTGCTTCTAGCCCTGTCTGTCCAGCAGTATATTTGAACCAAAGAGAATTCCCTGGATGTAGTTTCTACATCCTAACCCTCTGAACATACATATAAAAAAACCTAGATTGCTTTATTTTTACCAAATCATGAATTCCCTCTGGAAATCAAATGTTTCCCTCTGTTGCATTCTCTGATATCTTTTGAATGCATCTTAAAATCCCTTGAAAAGTGAAAGGGGTAGATTAGCCTGGAAAGTGAAACTTCTGGAAGATTTTGACCAGTGGTTTAATTAAATATGTCATTTTACTGCTAACACTACCTCATTTGGCTAACCAGAACACTTTCTGTTACATTGATGCCAACTAGATCTTTGTAGCCCCTGCAAGGCTGAATTTTCAAGAAATTGCCTAATCTATGACTACCTGACTTATTTTATCAAATTTGCCAACAACTTTAGCCACAAAACTGGTATAAGTTGATGGGAGTTTTATGTATTGAATTGATAGAATCCAGTGATTGATGTTATGCAGACATGGGGGCCTGACGTGATTAGATCAAGAAAATATTCAGTGATTATAACTATGAAATAGAAGCTTCATGTCATAAGTCACTCCCAAAAGCAACACAACTGCCAGCGGCATAAGCTACTTTGGTTCTTTTTTTTTTTTTCCTTCCTTTGACAGGCAGAGTTAGACAGTAAGAGAGAGACAGAGAGAAGGTCTTCTTTCCGTTGGTTCACTCCCCAAATGGCCACTACGGCTGGCGCGCCGTGCCGATCTGAAGCCAGGAGCCAGGTGCTTCCTGCTGGTCTCCCATGCAGATGCAGGGCCCAAGCACTTGGGCCATCTTCGACTGCCTTCCTGGGCCACAGCAGAGAGCTGGGCTGGAAGAGGAGTAACCGGTACAGAATCTGGCGCCCCAACCGGGACTAGAACCCAGGGTACCAGCGCCACAAGCAGAGGATTAGCCTAGTGAGCCATGGTGCCGGCTGTAAGCTACTTTGGTTCTTGAAGTATAAGACCAATCCAGCATATAGTTATGTAGTCAGAATTCTCCTGAATTCCAGTACTTCCACATGCCTTAAGGGCTGGAACTGGACCCAATAATGTTAGGCTTGCTAAGACTGTGTTATTTTACCCTTTAATCCTTCTAGCCTTTGACTAACTCCTCCCAGCTGGATTTTCTTAATTTTAGGATAGAAAAGCAGCATTTAATTACCTGATTATACCTTAGTATCTGTTGTACAGGAGTAAAACATATTGATACAAAAGGTTCCTCCAGGAGTAGCTCAAAAGGCAATTTATATAAAGCCAAATAGAAAATGCTATAGTACGAAATGGCTTGATGCCTTTTCGTAATATAGAATTTGTCTGGGGAGGATCTCTGAGTTGCTCTTCCATTCTCCTCTTTGGTAGTATACTGTGGGGTACTCCCAAATGTTTTTTCTTAATTTTGATAATGGAGCGCATAGTAAATAATGGCCTATACCTAGCTTCATGCTCTAAAGATGACACCAACATTTCAGAAACCAAAATCTTTAAATATGTCATCTTCTTCCTTAGTCCACCTTTATTTAAAAAATTAGACATCGGCTGAAAATGATTTTTGCATAGGCCATTGAGTGGAGGAATACTACCAGGCAGTCACGGAAAAAACTTAGAACATTTTCTTTCCTTGAAAACCACAGATTCCAAACTTCTGTTGAAAGTATAAATATGGAGTTTGGGGGTTGCAACCCTTTTTTCTTAGCAGCATTGAATGTTGTCAGTGGTTCAGCATGAAATTTGTCTTGAGTTATATCTATGGTAGGAGGAATTTACTGTCTGTACTATAGTTTGGCAGGCTGATGTGCTAGAACAACCAGGAAAATTTACATGTCATTTTCATTCATTCATTCATTCATTCATTTATTCTTACCATCATTGAATCAGTAAACATTTATTGAACCACCTACTGATGAACATCTCTCTTTACATCCAATGTCTGAAAGGCTAAATGGTTTTTCAGACTATGGGATTTTGAGAGTTGCAAATGAGGCAAACTATTGTGGGCACTCTGCGGGGCTGCCTCTTAATTTATACAAAGTGGTGTATATGAATGCATAAAGGCCAACTGAACCAAGGCAGCCACAGATACTCTTATAAGTTATATCCTCTTACATAGGGCCCCATTTGGACATATCACAGAGGCAGAGGTCAACTGCTATTAAAGAACAATGAATGCCTGACTTCCCCCAAATACGTTAGTCTTTTTTAAAGATTTACTTATTTTATTGGAAAGACAGAACTACAGAATAGGACACACACACAGGGAGCGTGCAAGAGTGAGCTTCCATCTGCTGGTTCATGCCCCCAAATGGCCACAGCCGCCAAGGCTAATTGAGACCAAAACCAGGAATCTGGAACTCCCTCCGAGTCCATTCCCTACACGTATGGCAAGGGTCCAAGCACTTGGATCATCCTACACTGGTTTCCCAGGTGCTTTAGCAGGGGACTGGATCAGAAGTGGAACAGCTAAGACTTGAACCAGTACTCATATGGGATGCTGCCATTCTAAGTGGCAGCTTAACCCTCTGTACCGCAACACTGGCCCCAATATGTTAATCTGTATGCTTAGTGACCAATAGTCTAACATTCTGGGTGACTTCCTACTTTGTTCAATATTCCTTGCTATGATATTGGCCTCACTTTAAAGGGAAACAATATTTTTTACACTGGGTCTGCCTCATATCCTGACAGGCTCCATAATGGGGTAATGTGTGGGGCCTTATCTAGAGTAGAAGATCTCAATGACTTCAACCAGTAGGCATCTTGGAACACTGTACACACCCACAATGCCTGTGACAGGTAGGCACATAGGTCTTAGCAACTGTTTTGAGAAAGAGACTTAACATTGGGCATTGAAAATTTCTCTGTAGCACTTGAGAAAAAAAGCTAAGCCATTTGTATTTAACAATTATAGAAGCAGCCTTATGCTGAATTCCATCTAATTCAGTGTGCATTGCTTGAGGGCCCACTATGAGCCAGCTTCTATCCTAGGTGTTAGTAATTCGGGGAAGAATCAGATTTGGCTCCAGCTCACAAGGAGGCCTCACTCTAATTAGGTTCCAAAGGATATTCATACAGAATGCTACTGTAAGCATGTATGAAATAGAAAATAGAATTAGTGATATGGCTTGATGTCCACAACTAAGCTATTTGAAGATCCAAGTCATTACCTCCTGAAACCTCTAGTAAAGAGGCTAGTTTGGTGGCCTCTACCACATATTTGGCATTTTGGCATAATTATTATGAAGAATACCGCTATCTTAAAAAATAGATTCCCTTGGTTATTCAGTCAAGGTTGTAGTTAAGCCCCTTTTCCCTCAGCTAAATTTTCAGCAATCAGATTAATTTATTAACCTTTATTAAAGACCGTAGTGCTTTTCTTTATTTTATAAAGTGATGAAGCTGTGCATTGACATGCTGCTAACAATGTATGAGACTGTCCTGGCACACTGAACAGTGGTACAGCAGGATAACATTTCAAAGGAGGTTTCAAGTTCAGAATTTGGAGTATTTCAAAAAGCTGTGTTCCTTCTCAGCACAGCCATTGGTGCTCTGTAGATCAATGAGATATACTTGGCCCTTCCAGTCAAGTAATAAATACCTCTCTACATTTCAAATGGAGGACTTTTCCAAATATCCTTATGTAAAGTTTTTTCATGTAAACCACTATGATTGAAAGGGTGCCTTACCTTTGTCTGCTAGTCATGGAAAGACTAATAAGAATGGACCCAGTAAAATGGCCATGCCTAGCATGGGATGTCTGCAGAAATAGGAAGAAATATCCCATTGTTTTGAGAGCTCTTTCAGAAGGGAAGACAAGGAAAGGAAGACTGTCAGCTGTCAGAGAAAAATTCTCAGGGGAAACACTTTGGAAATTTTGAAGGATACAATTTAACATTATAATAATGTAATAATAATAATAATTACCATTGTGGTACTTAACAGTGTCATATACAACCATGAGTTGAGAGGGCAATTGCCCTGTGAATTGGATTAGACAAAAGTAAAGTCAAATCCTAATGTCGTGGCCATTGGGATGGGCCTTTATTCATTGGCCTCTTTGACATACTACTAATTGAGCTGATGTCAAAGCTATCTGGATGACTGCAAAGGAATGTAAAAATTTCATACTATTTTAGCTCATTATCTCCAATCCTCTTCACTAGTCCCCCACCAATTGCTAGTTCTGTCAATTTTATTGCTTTATATACTCTTTTTGGGCATTATATTGCTTTCTGTACTTTCATTTTCCCTTTGTTTTCCTTTACAAAGTAATTTTAACACCTAATCTATTAACCCTGAAGATATCTGCTTTTTATAAACACTTTTATCTCTGATGGTTAGGTAGAAGTTTTTTATCACACTCAAATTTGCTTACAAGTTGCAGTCTTACATAGATAGATTTGTACATTTTGAAACTGACACACTGCCTACTGTGCTGAGGAGGAAGGTGACTTATACATTAAACATATGGGTGGGGGACTTGATGTCATGTTAACCTTATTGCCACAAAATAGAGATAGCAGCAATTAAAAATTTTTTCTCAGAAACTAAGTATTTGTTTCTCTAGCTTTTATCCACTTGGTAATTTGCATGTTACCAATATGTCACCAGTTTTCTTCATTTAAGGTCTAATATGAATAAGAAAATATAGTTATATCAAAACATATGAATAAATTGAAATATTTATCTTTAAAAGTTGTTTATTACCCTCTTTTGGATACATATATGTTTTTAGTTGGTTTCTTTCTCTAAGCATAATTTTATTAGTCACTGAGTATATAATATGGGTAATTTTGATTAGCAGAGTTGTTCAACTTATCTCCAAAATTGACAATTCAACTTCTGTTTTGATTGGACAATGCCAAAACCAAATCTGTAAACTTATAATTTCAGGCACAGAATAAGGGCAGGGGGTGGAGAGTGGGAAATAGCCTCTTAGATGTTCTAATTAAACTTTATCATTTTTGATGTCGTCTGGGTATTTTAAAGGAAAAAATTTGCCTACCTTTTGATAGAGGTCTTTGTAGGGAAGAGGAAAACTAATCAGATTATGTTAGAACAAAGGAAGGTAAGCATTGTTCCAGAGACAAATGAGACTGTGGTGTCTCCAAATGTTTCCCCATCACGTTAGGTTTGATTAGACTTTTTACCTGCAACTGCCAAAGAGCAGTCAGTCCTTTTATAGTGTATCTGTGCAATTGATAGACTGATGGTTATTAATGGACCCTGGACATAGCTCTATGACCAGTGAGTTTTGAAGAACTGTAGATTAGTGAATTAATGGTTAGAGATAATCCTGACTTTAATAAGAAGCATATTTTAAAATTTATTAAAATATTTTATTAAAAAGTATGTACATTCCCATTTTCAAAATCATTTTAAATTTTTACAGAGAAATAGTAGTTGGCACATATGATAGACTATTCTGAACTCTAGGAAGTAATGTCTTCAAAACTAACATGTCGTTTCTACTGCAAATTCTCAAGGTTTCTTTTTAAATGTCTTAGATTTGAGAGAATATTTACTCTTTTTTTTTTGGTTTCTGCATTTCTCTCTTTTCTACTGCAATTTTCCACCTTTTGTGCAATTGTGAACAAGGTAACGAAACGCCTCCCTTCCTCAGGAACATCTACTATCTTCATGCTTTCTCAAACTTCCAGCAATCACAGTTTCTCTTGGAGTGAATAAGGTGATTTCCTTTCTTAATGTACCAACATGCTTGCATTCTCATTTGCCTGACACCATTTTCTGATTCTTTATGAAAAATACTTCTCATCACTCATCTTTATATCTTTTATTAATTCTTAAAGTATTTTGTCATTTTATTTGAATCATTTGTTCACCTTTCAAATTGTCATACTGGAGAGGAAGTAATCTTCAAAAGCTTGAACTATAAGTCTGTGGTCTCATTGATTCAAGGTATGCAGTAGTAGCCATGGCATGTTAGAACTAGTCTGTTTTCCAGGTCAGGAATGTTTTACACATATTTACCTTTATTTGATACACTCGCAGCACCAGCACAACTCTCAGAGGTGTTCACCAAAAGGATGGTAAGGTTCACTAATCAAACCATACTGACTCATTTTACCATATAACCTACCAGTGCCATTTCAAAAACTCAAGTTTGCTACTACTGTCAATTTACTTCTGTGAAAACAATTGGAATTGCAGACTTTCTTAGGCCTTTAAATGTATTCATTTGAATGTTATGCATTTGCTATGTAGTGTAACCATTTGTACTTTTGGCCAGAAGAGAAGTCTATAGGAAATGATTTTTCTTCTACATTTTTTATCACCAGGTAGGTTAACCAGTCTTCAAACGCTTTAAGTATCTTTGCCTCACTATTACAGAGAAATCTGAGCTGTAGAAGGGCATCTGACTCATTATCCGCCAGACCTTCAGTCAGACCTCTTCTTTTACGAACATTCTCAGACGAATCTAATATATTGTAACAGGTACCTAGTGTTAAACAAGTGGGCTGGCTTTAAGGAAACAGATTAACAGCATTATAAAGAAAATGAAAATATCACTCTCTAAATTTTCTCTGCTGTTGGTGTGGTGAACTTTATACTATTCTTGCAAAAATATAAAGATGCATTACTTGGAATATGGGGAAATATACCTTTAAAATTTGCTAAGCCCCCAAATAAAAGTTTAGGTATTTTTCAGAGTTGAATGATAATTTAAATCTGTAAGGGGCAAGTTGTCATGGTAGTGCCATCATGTGAAAATACTTATTGATACTGATCAGGAAGTATAACTTTAATTTATAAAGATCCTTTGGAAAATTGAAAATAAATATTCCAAAATTGCATCTGTATAATATCAAGTCAGTTTAGCGTTGCATGTTCTTCTGGGAATTTTGTGAAAATAATTAAATGTGTCTGTACCTTCATGTGCTGTGTCTGTGTGTTTGCAGGTATACACTTAATGTCCTTGTAAATGTGTGGTCCCCAAATACATATTAATAAACCAGTCTAATCATAACTTTTTAATGTCAAGTTTTATTCAAGCTAAATGGCTCAACTTCAGAGGTAAAATCTTTCCTAGCCATTCAGGGGGATGCATGCCTAATGATTTTTTAAAAAGCTTTATAATTAGTGTTTCCAATTTGAGTACATTTATCTTCTAATGTACTGTTTCATTTACCCCAAAAATATTTGGACAGAATTGATATGCCATGAGATGAATGCTTGGACTCAGAATGACCCTTTTCTGTACATTCTGTATTTTCCGCTACAGTAGCCTTTGACACCCCAGACCTCTAAAGGTCATTTATCCATCCATGAAAATTCAGAGTAATCCATGAACAAGGATTACAAGATTGTCAGCTTGAAAACCACTCTTGTAGCTTTTAGAAGGGCTGTCTTTCATGAACACATAAAAAATTAACCATCATCATTAATAAAATTTTGGGTCAGTTCACTTTGAAGCTAACAATTTGACTCTACCTTACAGGCCCATTTTCTCATCAGCTATCAATTCACTCTCCTTCCAGCATGGAATTAAAATTAAACTAATGGAGGCCAGCGCCGCGGCTCACTAGGCTAATCCTCCGCCTAGTGGCGCCGGCACACCGGGTTCTAGTCCCGGTTGGGGCGCCGGATTCTGTCCCGGTTGCCCCTCTTCCAGGCCAGCTCTCTGCTGTGGCCAGGGAGTGCAGTGGAGGATGGCCCAGGTGCTTGGGCCCTGCACCCCAAGGGAGACCAGGAAAAGCACCTGGCTCCTGGCTCCTGCCATCGGATCAGCGCGGTGCGCCGGCCGCAGCGTGCCGGCCGCGGCGGCCATTGGAGGGTGAACCAACGGCAAAGGAAGACCTTTGTCTCTGTCTCTCTCTCTCTCACTGTCCACTCTGCCTGTCAAAAAAAAAAAAAATTAAACTAATGGATTGAGTCCTTTAGTTCTATCTCTTGTGGCTCCTCATTCCTGCAACTTAAGTGTTATTTTGCAAGCAGACTCTTTTTGATGCAGTTGGGTTCTTTTCAGCTGCTTTTGAACAACTTACCTGAGTATATTTTCCATTGGTAATATCCATCTACTTCACAGTAACCTTCAAAGTTTTTGACCCTTTTATCCCAGATTGCCTGTCCTAAGCTATGTGTTGCATTTTAGCTGTTTTTGGTTAATTTTGTATCCCCCTGGATTGCTTTCTTTAGCTTGGTCTGTAGTTTGGGAGTCGGTACTGTGTAACAGACTGCTAATGCTTTTGGCCTCTCCAGGACCTTAACTCTTACAATGTCTGACATGGAACTAAGGAATATTTTTAAAATCAATGACTTTATTTTTAGTGTAGTTACTTCTTCCAAGAGTTAGTTTAGCCACTGAGTTTGTTCCTTGGTTGCTATAGGACCCACCTGATTCCTTCCACGCATTGTGTGTGACTGGCAAATTTATTTTGTCTCAGGTCATCATGACCCTGCAGAGCTATCTAAAGACCTAGAGAGTGGTTGTTGAGAATTTGGCACATAAATAGAAATAGAAGGTATTTTAATGGGCTTATGGTCCAACCTTGACAATGAAGGTATTTGAGAATGGGAAGAAAATAGCAGTCTTTAAGGCCTTCCGCTGTTCAGGTTCAAAAAGTTGAGTTTAAGAGTGGAGAGTCAGAGTTAGACTCCCTCACTTGATATATAACTTCCATTTCTCAACATATCTGAATCATTTGATGATCAGTTTGTCTTTCATATCCTACCCTGATCATAATATTTGATGATGTTGAGAGGACAGACAAGAATCTGCAAAAATTTTTAGGGAAATTTCTATGGTTCTTCCTCCAAAAGATGATTCAAAGAAAAACAAGAGTCAATTGACTTATCAAAAAGAAAAACAACTTAAATAGTATAGGAGAAAAAGTGCTTCTTTCAGTAAAGGAAGAATATTTTCAAAATAATCTTCCAAAATTGAATATATCATCAGACTCTCTGTCAGAATTAATGCACACCCCAAAAAAGTAACCCATTCATTTTCATTCAACATTTCCTGAACATCTGCTGATGATCTAGACACAGTACTAGGTGCTCTAGATAGAAAGATAAATAAAACATCCCTGTTCTCATGGAGCTTCAAAGGGATTATAGAGGACTAAAAATCTCTGTGGTGGTAGATAAGCTCAGTGGTAAAAAGTATTAGGAGAACCCTGGAGTAGTCCAAAAGCAAAAAAGCAAGCCTGAATCTATTCAGCTGACAAATGAGGAAAGAATTAAAATCTGGTTATTGTGTCACTTTTTATCCCCCTTGCATGTGAATAAAACTTGGCATTTTGTTAAGACAGTTGCTTTACTCTCAACAAAATTTACTACTTGATTTATTTTTAAACATGTTTAACAGATGGTTTCACACATTTATTAAAATAAACCTTTTAACTCTGTATATTTTAAATTTTTCAGAATCCGAATCTTGAGCTGCCTATGTTATTGTCCTACAAGCATATTGACAGTGGTTACAGCTAAAAGAGAAAGCGTGAAGAAACAACTACAAAAAGTTATCATCTCAGGATACTCCATATGCAACAAACTAAACCACTCTCTTATGTCTAGGGTTCAGATTAAATATCCATTAAAATACCAAATGACTCTGTTAAGCATTTACCATTATTGTAAGTAGCCCTTATGACCAGAGCTATAAGTTAAGAATCACATGAAAGTTGAAAGCAAGACTACTTAGATTTCTGCCTTTAGATAGAATACTATAACTACCAAATGGGTGTTCTTTTAACCCATTGACTTTGTGAATGGATTTAACTTACAATAGTATTAAGTAGAAGTCATGTAACGGGAATGAATAGATTTTGCTAATACAGTATTACTTTTTTTGCCTGGCAGAAAACATAGTCTGTTTGGATCACATTTCTTGCTCCTGCTGAATGATCATCTTAAATTATTGTTTTTTCAAACATACAAAGGAATACTTGAAAATAAAGAACTAAATGGTATTGATGCATCAGATAGAATAGTTAATTCATCTTTTCTGTTAACCCACATGCTAATTGTATCTTGGCATAACATGCTTGCCAGAAAATACCTTGAACATGTATGTGGAAAGTGTTAACTCTGGATATTATTGTGGGAACAGAAAAAATGGTTTATTTTGTTTTTTCCCTCTGAATTAAACTCCACTTATGGATGTAAGGCTACTAGACTTGAAAATAAAGCATACAACATTTCAATCACTTAATAGCCCCTGAAAATAAGATATAAGCAGATTTTTCCGATGTCAGTTTTACAGGAATCTGAAGTAAGGTGGGCAAAACCATAGTTATGCAAAAATAAAGGCCATTCTGAACATTAGCCTTTTATAATTTTATATGGAGAAAAAATAAATATAGCTGATTTTAAACTATTAACAGTTTTTATTTTAAAGAGGTTGCATTTATGCATATATAAAGCACTTTTTTTTGTCAATTTGGGAAGGGTCGAGATCCATCCCATGACAGTGGTTCAGCCTGTATAGGAGCCATGACTCTGTGAATATGAATGTTGTTTCTAGTAGCTAACTTGACCAGGGTCCTGGTCTAACTATAAACCATGAGACCTTGGTATAGTCCTCAACCTGCTGGACTAAAAGGAGATTTTAGCCTCCTAACGAGTTCACTTAAAATATAAAAATAAATGTGAAATGTCTTTTCATTGTCAAAATTAAACACACTTTTTGGACACAAATGATCATATTTGACTGCTACATTAAAATAGTCTTTAAAACATATTCATATCATTTTCCTTTTTTTTGTTTGTCTTTCTGGTACGCCTATACTGTTACCAGTATTTATATTGTATTTGGTTTTGGAAAAGTATTGGATTCAGTCTGTACCAATATATTTATATAGTCCATATGGCACATTTGATTGTTCTGTATATGTTTTGTGTTAATGTTTAGGTGTAATTTTTCTTATATTGTAGAAAGTACATAATTTCAGTTATCAGAGACTATTCCATCATTATTCTCCCTTCATTATTTCATTTGTTCTCATCCATCAGTGTTATTTTTTGAGTATTTTGTTAAGATATCATTCACAGCTTACTTAAGTATGCTGTGTTCTGGTAACCTGTATTTAAGGTGATCTACGGAAAACAGTCTTTATATTCTTTGCCTATCCCAAAGAGCTAAAAAAGTCTAACCCAGGAAAGCTTGTGAGTTTGGTTCTTGTTCTCGTTCTTAAAGGTGTTGTTCCTGTATTGTTATTATTGTTTTACTTAAGAACCATAGGGACTGTGAATACAGACAGAGAGCAACAGTAAAGGTTTATTTAATGCAGAACCATTGGAAAGTTGACATATTCAGAGTATCCAGGGTAGTAGAAATATAACTGGTTGTGTATAAAATTCCTTGCAGCCAGGAATAAAGTTGGATGAGAGGAGTAAGGGGAATGTCAAGTCATGCCTCACCTCCATGTGATACTGTACACTCAGCTCAAATTTAATAAGGCCATGATGTATAATATCATGGCCTAGATTCTTAAAGAGGACCTAGCTTTTGTTTTTGAAAGATATTTTATTAATGAGCTAAAAAAATGGCCAGCATGGAATTAGTATATGGACTAACTTTATATAAGTTGTCCAGTATTCCTAACACTACAGTCCAACCACGCTGTTTTGTGACAAAGGAGAAAAATGTTAGAGTAGGATCAAATACCCATAATTTGAATAATTCTGAGCTATCAAAATGTCCTTGTTATTTTCACAACTGTTGTCCATTGTTTGATGATGTTACCTATTAAAATGAAAACATTCATTCCTTATCTACAACATATACACCAGCAGCAATATAAATGTTACCCTAAATTTGCAAAATCCCTAATAATTTAGTGATGGAATTTTTTAATAACATACGGTATATAAATGTGCAGATTTTATGCAAATATTAATCATTTTTCAGCTTGCAAAATGGACCTGCAATATTACATTTTCCACTTACACAATTTTTTACATCTATGTTTTTGCTTTCTAAAATGAATGTGAATGCCATCTTTTATGAATGCAACTTGCCTTTTTCATTACAGAAATTTTTGTTTGATGTAATCAATAAACTTTGGTATGATATGATGGATATTTTAGCCTCTTTTTTGGAAAGGTCCCAGCTTGACATCACAATTATAATACAGAAATAATTTAGTCATGATAAATAAGCTTCTAGTTTCCTTTGTGTTTTTCCATTTCACAAATGGTTGACCATTTCTACAGAAGTTAAATTAACATTTTATGGCAGTCACTAATTTGGGAAGGAAGGCTACAATATTTGGTATTTGTGGGAATTTTTTTTAAACTACAAATGGCCTTTTTTTAAAGTCTTCAAAAAGCAAACCCTTTTCTTTTTCCAAAATAATCACAATTAACTTAAAAAAATTGGCACACATCTTCAAAGCATTTCCCTTTAATGGGAGACTTAGCTTAATAGAATCTAAATATTAAAAAATTTTTGGAAATTCTATTTTGTTGCCATTAAAAGACAAAACAGAATCTAGCATAAGTTAAGAAAATCCACTCATGCTTCAGGCCCTTCTCTGGGTACCAACGTTGTTATATTATTTCCACTTAGCAAAAATCTGTTTAGCAACCCTTCCTCCTTTGGGTGTGATTTCAAATTCAGTGACATCTTCCAGGATCATAATGACAAAGTCATCGAATCCTAGAAGCATACCAACAGTTTCCTTACTCACTGTTCATCACAACTTGAATTCTGGATCCGGTACATGTATCCAGTGATCTCTAATGGCAGCAACTGTGACAGGTTGATTATTAGCCACCATGACTGTGCCATAAGTGGTCTATCTGTGGGAGTTTTTAAAAAGACTGTATTGTGTTAGTACATAGAGTAAACATCAGATATACCCAAATTGAAGGATATTCACAATAAGTGACTGACAGTCTCCAAAATTTTGTAAAGATCATGTAAAACCAAGACTGAGGAACTGCGCCAGTTGAAGGAAACCAAGATGATATGAAAACTAAGTGCAGCCTGTGATCTTCAATTGGATACTGGGTGACAAAGCGAACATTAGTGGATAATTAGAAAGTTTGGCTACAGTATGTAGTTGCATAACACTGTGTAGATAATATATCAGTGTTATCTTTTTAATACTTAAAATTAGACCGTGATTACATATGGCATATTTTGGGAATCTGAATAGAGGATATATTGGAATTTTGTATTTTTGCAATGTAAGTCTTAAATTATTTCACAATTGTAAGTTAAAAAAAAAGCATAAAATATCAATAGAGAGCATTGAATTAATCTGCATATAAAAGACTACAATATAATTTATTAGCTAATATCTGCATAGCACTTTACAGAATGCTTTCATATACCTCATTAAATCTTCATAATGGCCTTATACAGTGATCTTAGCTCCAGATTCTTAACACTGAGGTTCGGATAACTTAATTATCTTGTCCTGGTCCCTCAGGACTGAACTTAGATATGACTTGTATGTTTCCTACTACATTACACTTTGTAGTTTGGAACCCAAAAAAACATTTCCTCCTGGGTTCTCAAACGATTAAAAAGTAAACCTGATGCAGGTGTTTGGTGCAACAGTTTGGCCTGGGACACCTGCATCCCATATTGGAGTTCCTAGGTTTGAGTCCCAGCTCGGCTTTTGAATCCAGCTTCATACTAGTGTGTACCCAGGGAGGAAACAGTAATGACTCAAGTGATTGGGTCTGTGTCACCCACTTCTGAGACCTGGACTGAGTTCCTGGCTCCTGGCTTCACCCTGAACTAGCCCCAGCTTTTGTGAACATTTGAGGAGTGAACCAGCTGATAGAAGATCTCTGTCTCTCTGTTTCAAGTAAATAAGTACAAATAAAAAGGAAACCTTACTGCAGTAATTTTCATGTGAGCCATTCAGGAAACATACCTTTAACATGAAGGTGTTGGACTTATTCGGGTGTTTCCAAGACAAGGGTTAGCATCCTAGCCCTGTTTCATGCACACTTTGAGTTACATACTTCCTTAATTTTACTAACAAGGCACCAATTAGCTACCTGTCCCTGGAATCTAAACTATGATGTTAACTTAAAGTCAGAGTATAGAGGATATTTCCAGTGCTTTCCATCTCAAATGATTTTACCCTACTCCTGTGAAAAGCTTGAATTTATAGGTCTTGCATTGTGGTACAGCAGGTTAAGCCACTGCTTGCAGCGCCAGCATCTGACATCAGAGTGCCAAATCAAGTCCTGGCTATTCTGCTCATCCAGCTCCCTGCTAACATACCTAGGAAGGAAGTGAAGGATGGCCGAAATGCTTGTGCCCCTGCTACCCATATGGGAGACCCAGATGGAGTTCCTGGCTCTTGGTTTTGGCCTGACCCAGGCCTGAATATTGCATCCATTTGGGGAGTGAGCTAGTGAATGAAAGATCTGTCTCTCCTTCTCTCTCTGCTTTTCAAATCAATAAGTTTTTTAAAAAGACGGCTTTTTTAGAAGTTTGGCTTAGATAGTTGTTAATCAGCATTTGCAAAACTGAGTTGTATGAAACAGAGACCTGGGTAATGTTAGATGTTCCTTGAAAAAGTAGATTACCTGGTTAAATACAGTTGTGTATAATGGTACCATATTTGATAAGTTACAATACACAGTAGAACATTAAAATCTCCAAGAGATCTAAAGAAGTCCATTGACTTCTTTAAAGTCCATGAAAGACCCCCTTTTTGTTTAATCCAATATATTCAAAACATTGGATCATCTAATATTGCACAGACCATCTACTAAATCATAGGACATGAGTTTTCTGTGGAACACAATATAAGAGCAATAGCTAGTTTCTCTAAATTGGTAATTGAATCACGTATCATACTGTCAACTCACATGAAGGGGTTCATTTTCACAATCTGAGAAAGATGTAAATGATGACAGGTCTCAAGGCAAGATCATCAGTCAAGATCCACATGAGAAAACAGACCATTTCATATTTTTTAAATGGAGGGAACCTAATATAGTGAATTGATCATTCAGATGATGGCACTGAAAAGCAAACTGGGGACTCTGAAATACCCCAGAAATTAAAAAGAGGAGTGCAGAACCACCTGAAGGCTCGGGGAACAAAGGAAGGGATGGATTCTGGAGCCTATGACTCCATATGACTTGGCAAAAGTGAGAATGATGGGCTGGCGGCGCGGCTCACTAGGCTAATCCTCCACCTGTGGCACCAGCACTGCAGGTTCTAGTCCTGGTCGGGGCGCTGGTTCTGTCCTGGTTGCTCCTCTTCCAGACCAGCTCTTTACTGTGACCCGGGAAGGCAGTGGAGGATGGCCTAAGTGCTTGGGCCCTGCACCCCATGGGAGACCAGGAGGAAGCACCTGGCTCCTGGCTTCGGATCAGCGCAGCGCACCGGCTGTAGCGGCCATTTGGAGGGCGAATCAATGGAAGGAACACCTTTCTGTCTCACTAACTCTGCCTGTCAAAAAAAAAAAAAGTGAGAATGATGGTGGAACTGAACACAGCAGCTGGGGCCAGAGCAGTGTCTCAGCAACTGTTGAATATGAAGTAGAAATACCCTGATTTCTTTTTTCCTGCCTCTAAGCCTCTCCAGTCTCTCTTCCACTGGCTGGCCCCAGTTGGAAGCCAGCTGATGTAGTATTTCTCAAGTGACAAATACTACAGAGCAGAGGGACCGGCCCTGTGGCATAGCAGGGAAAGCTGCCAGTTGCGTGCCAGCATCCCATATGTGCACCGGTTCGAGACCCAGCTGCTCCACTTCCAATCCAGCTCTTTTGTATCGCCTAGGAAAGCAGTGGAAGATGGCTCAAGTGCTCAGAACCCTGGACCCACATGGAGACCTGGAAGAGCCTCCTGGCTCCTGGCTCCTGGCTCCTGGCTCCTGGCTCCTGGCTCTTGGCTCCTGGGTTTGGATAGGTCCAGCTCCAGCCATTGTGGCCATTTGGGGAGTGAACCAGTGGATGCAAGACTTTCTCTCTGCCTCTGTAACTCCGCCTTTCAAACATTTTTTAAGAGCAGAGCAGGGAAGCACAATGAATGCATCTGAGAGTAGACAGGCCCAGGACTGGTACAAAGGATTTAAAGAATCAAGTTCAGATTTATTATTATAGTCAAATGTATATAAACTAAAAATTAAACTTTAAGGACCTGGATTACAGTTCATTTTAAAAATGTCTTTCTTGGGGCCAGTGCTGTGGCACAGTAGGTTAATCCTCCGCCTGTAAGTGCTGGCATCCCATATGGGCACCGGTTCTAGTCTCGGCTGCTCCTCTTCCCATCCAGCTCTCTGCTATGGCCTGGGAAAGCAGTAGAAGATGGCCCAACTCCTTGGGCCCCTGCATCCCCGTGGGAGACCGGAAGAAGCTCCTGGCTCCTGGCTTCAGATTGGCACAGCTCTGGCCATTGAGGCCATTTGGGTAGTGAACCAGTGGATGGAAGACCTTTCTCTCTGTCTCTCCCTCTCACTGTCTGTAACTCTTACCTCTCAAATAAATAAATAAATAAATAAAATGTCTGTCTTCATATTTCCCATGTGAAGAAAATAAATGTGAAGAAATGAATCTGAAGGCACTGCTGTGATAGATTTAGTGCGATCATATGATAATTTTTATGGATGCATAGATTAATGGAAGTAGAAGGCCCTTGTTTAATACTGCCTTCTCAGTTACAATAAAGTCAGCCAGCATTAAACAAAATTCCTCTAGTGAAATGAAGTAGTGCATCTAGTAAATGAAATTCACCCCCAATATCTTACTCAAAACTAAAGAATAAGTCATCAGGGTCTGGATAAAAAGCTACAATATTCAATGCAGAGGGAATAAATTTTGTCTCTGCTTTTGCTTATGTTCATAAAAGAGAAACTGCCACCCTCCATGAAGCATATGGAAGGTTTCCATTCCTCGTCACTCCCTCAAATAGCTGACTGTTGAGATGATAAGGATTTACTTCACATGTGTGGCTCAGCCCCACTTCAGCCTTTCATAGTTTAGAGCTATCAGCTGCTCTTGTTCTTTTCCTCACTCCCCTGCCCTCCAAGCAGTAAAGTTAGTTGTGGTAGGAAACCAGACTGGCAGGGAGACTGGAAATGGCTGTAGTTTTCTAGC